AGCTCTTCAAAATTAGGCCCGTCGTTGTTCTTGCTTGAAGTTTACAGCTCCCGATCTGTGATTTGCGATTTTAGACAGTCTGCTTGTCCCTTTTCGCCAGAATTCGAAGCCTTGTCTTGCTGTCGGTTTTAGATTGGTTGGCAGAGGTCTTCCGAGAAATTGAACACGAGCGCTCCGTGCATCGATGGCAATTATCTTCCGCCGCCTGCGCTATAATTGACGACCCAGTATACTAGTTAATTAATTTACTTGGGGGTGAAGGCCGTGGCATGGCCCTGCAAACTCGTACTTTAGTTTTTATTTTAAATGTATACGCCATCGACCGTCCGATCAGCTCTGGTCTTTTAACCCACGATGTCATCACCACTCTCAAAGTGCGCGATCACAGCGAGAAAATTGCTTTGGGCGTTGTTCAGATGCCATACCCTGTTCTCCTAGGCCTTGACTGGCTCAAGCTCCATAATCCCTTCACCACATTTAGAAAAGGCTATGATCTTGCACATTTGCCTCCGTCTCCCTCGTCCCCTTCTCCTGCTTCCACAATCCCCTCTGTCGGACTAGGCCTTCGTCTTAACGGCAAATCACTTATCTCATCCATCTCCGACTGCATTCATCGTGCAGAACCTGTTCACACACAGGCCCGCGGTCGTCTAGCTAACGTTTCCACTCCCCACTCCATTCTCCGCCCCATTTGCGCTCAACCCGGCCTTCGTCGGATCGAGCTCCTTGCCATCTGGACCTCCCACGTGTAACTTGAGAGAGGAAAGAGGCATCGACCCGGACATCCGGGGGGTTAAAAACAACTCAAAATGCATGGCATCAAAAGCATGAACTTATCTGGTGGAGATGAGTGAAAGATTGTCGAAAAAAAAAGCAGGCCCGGATCTCAAGACGATCAAGTACGTCTCCTACTTGCATGATATCAATTAAAGTACTGTTGTCGCAGACCATTAGCGACACAGAGCTTCCATAATCCGGTGATTTTTGTGTAGAATAAGAATCGGCAAATGCCGTGATGACACGCCTCGGCGATCAATATCGATCAACGGCAGGCGGTACGGCCCGGGCTGCTGCAGATATTAAAACTGTAGGTGTAGATCTCAAAGCACAACACATTTGGACACATCGAGGGATTTTTACGGGTGGTTGTATGGTTGCCTAATTGATTACAGCCTATTATGTTTAACCTGATACGATAAACCATATTCTTTCTGTAGGGCGGTAAACGAGACCACAACTGATTTCGGCGGCTACTAGGCAGAGCGCGACGTGAACAGTTGCACAATAGCTAGTTTTAGGTAGGCATCTAGATGTTATATACACAATGCTAACCCGCCCTGAATTAAGTTGAGAAGTACATTTTGGAAGGGTGGAGGGCCCAGGGGAAATCCGCCGAGACCAAATAGACAGACAGAGCCACAGGTTCTTCAATGCAAACCAGAAGCTACATGCCAATTCAGATGTTGAAAACTATTTAAAAGCTAGAAGAAATGTTTTCTAAAGTGCACTGGTTGAACATTTCAAGTTTTTCGGTGAAAAAATTGGTGAAAAATATTTAGGATTTTGCAGAATTTTTTCACCAAAAAAGTAGGTGAAAAACTTGAAAGTTTTTCAAAAAAATTTTAACTTTGTTTCGCATTATTCACTTTGAGTCAAAAAGTCCTGAAAAACTTTTAAGTTTTTCATCTACTTTTTCGGCAAAAGATTATGGCGGTCCGGATGCACTTTTATTCCCGCGCAAAAGTGTTATATCCCCGCCCCTTAAACTCGGTGTTTTCCGGCCTCCCGTGCTAAAAGCAGCCACCCCATGGGGCAGTTTTTGATGTGCGCAACTCGAACTTCCGCGCAAAATAAACTTGACCCCCGCACAAGATAAAGTCAAGTCCCGTGCAACAAAAACACAATTTCCCCCTCACAGAGAAACAGATATGGTGTACCTGCACACAAGGCTTCCTTTTGGATGAGCAGGGATCGATTTGTGGTGTTTCCCACGGTTCAGGTTACTCACCTTCGTCGTAGAATCCCAAACAAAAAACAGCTTCTGAACAGTCTTACCCATCTCCACCGACTGAGCTGACCCGCAGATGACTAGGGGCAATTAAGGTCCGGTGGGCCTGTAAAAGTGCGTGAACAGTGGTACGTATCAGCGTGGAAGAAGCATTTTTATCTTACAATAGTGTTAAATCCTATGCCCGTTAACTTGCCAGGGTTCGAGTAAAGTGAAGCACCTTATCAATTAGGTGCTTCTGACCAAAATTCAGAACACCAGGTGCCGTTATTAACAAACCACCCTTCAATGAAGAATGTGAAGGACCCACTCGGTATTCGGCTAGAAATTATACCGCCAAGGCAGACTGCTCACATCAATGCTGGATCTGGTAATAAAGATCTAGCTTTGGCTGAATCAACGGTGTCCCTTACCTGAATCCTGCAAGGTAGCCTCTGGAGGATAGCCACTCTGTGGACTAACACAATAAGATGAAGCAGGTACTTCAGAGAGGTTTTTATGGTTGAACAATTTAAATCAGACTTCAATGCAGCTGTTGGATTAGAATTGAAAATCAAGCAAGTGCACTGAACTGTTGGAGGCCCATAGGAGACAGGAAATAGGAGGGTGACTGACTGTGCACCGAACCTCCAAATGATGGTGAATCTGAAATGCTGAAGTTGTGGCTGCACTTATAGTTTGGGTAAATGAATGTGCATCGCTCTGGTCCCTTCAAGTAAGGTGAAGAAGCTGCAGTTCATGCAGGAGGACCTGATATCTAATTTTGTACATGCAAATAGTAAGTGGACTGCTGAATACTGACCGGCGGAAGGCCAGAATACAGAGAAGTTGAAGGAGACTCTGAGAGCCATTGATGTTATCTTTGGGGTGGGATTAAACCTGAAGTTGAAAGTGGAAGACCCACAATGACATACCCACTTACTGTAGAACCTCTCGAGCAAGAATTGTGAAGCCATCAGCATAATAACTATAAATCAGCACCTGATATTGACTTTGAAGAACGGAGGGAATCTAAAGTCTTCGTGAGAGGTTCTAGAGTCAGGAGGTGCAAATTACGGCCCGCTAGCAATGGAAGACTAAACAGCACTTACATGCTGGGGGGTTTCGTGCTGGTTGAAGGAGAGTCATGCCGTGATTATATGGCTGGCACATTCACGTGGGCTACTGGAATATGTAAGAAAAATGGTTCAACAAGATCAACATGTTGTGCTCATGCAATTTAAAAGTCACGCTTCTGAGCTACACAACATCAAGACCATGACGGTAGCAGAATAACCACCAGGAACCGCCGCAGTCGGGATCTCATGACAGAGGCCAATAAATTCCGGTGGGACCTGGCCCAGTGGGTTCGATCGCGAACACGTGAACCTTCAAGTCCTTGCTTGTTTCTTTTGTGTGGAGACAATTTATGTTTTTTTTTTTGCACGGGACTTGACTTTTCTTGCGCGGGGGTCAAATTTATTTTGCGCCGAGGTTCGAGTTGCGCGCATCAAAAAATGCCCCATGGGGGTGGCTGTTTTTAGCGCGGGAGGCCGGAAAACACCGAGTTTTAGGGGCGGGAATGTAAAACTTTTGCGCGGGAATAAAAGTGCATCCGGACCACCATAAAAGATTTGTGCAAATTCCTAAACATTTTTCAGCAATTCTGCCTACGGCAAAGTGCTTGCCACATTTTTGCTACTCGTAGGCAGACTGGTTACGAGTCTACTAAATTTGCAAAATTCTACTTTGAATCACATCATCCACACATATGAGATATGATAAACAAATTCTGCCGACGAGGTCCCCTTTGGATAGTTTGGAAATGTTTTCCTCAGACAGGAGTGGATCTGAGTAAAACTACAAAATCATATGCTGCATTTAAAATAACAATAATATACGAAATCAGAGCGCCACACCCCCTGCGGAATCGCAGTGCGAATCTGCTCATATAAAATTTATGTAGATGCACAAAGAATTGAGCTCAGGGCGATGGATTTGGTCAAAACCAGCTTAAAATGGAAGAAAATTTGGCTGCGCCCCAAGTTCCGCAACTGGCTGTAAATAACGATTACTAAAGTACTCGTAATTGAATGGAGGCATCATGGTGTACTGTGTGCGCACGAGGGACTACTTTCAAGTGTGGTTCCGTGCCCTTGGAAGTTCAGCTAAAGTTACTTTGAGTATTGAAGTTCTGACATGAAAAGGCCGATCGAGACGACCACCATAATCGAAAAGGACTTGAACGCACCCTTCTACCCGCTTGCAAGTGCAGCTAAAATGAGGGTTCTCCTGCCACTGTTGCCATACCCTCGGGAGCAATTGGACCTCCGGTTCCTTGTTCAATCGATGCCCAAACATACCAATAACTCGAGACGACCACCGCGGTCCACAAGGGCTTCCGGGCACTGATTTTCGTGCTTGGAAGCGGTGCTAAAATTCTAGGCAGTCAGATGAAAGAACACGAACGTCAAGACACAATCAATGCTCCCGGGAGGAATCGAACCTCCTCCTCCTCGGTCGACTCTTCTATACACCATGAGCAATGAATCGAGGGGACTACCGTGGTCCACGGGGGCTTGAAATTACTGATTCGCGCGCTTGTCTTGTAAAGGTAAAATGAGACAGAGTCTGAGGCTGAAGGAAAAAGAAACCGCTACTAGTGGGCCATGTCCTCGGGAGGAATCGAACCTCCTTCTCCTCGGTCGCATTTTTTTCGGTTCTTCAATCCGATTATCGGATCGAGGTGACCACTATGATCCACGGGGACTCTCTAGCACCCCTTCGCGCCAACGTAAGTCGGTGCGAATGGAAGGCTTCGGCGGCGCCGTAAAATAAATCCTCGGCAAGCACTCGAGCCTTCAACTCTGTGTTAGAAATTGGACGCTTGCTTCATCAAGTCGCAGCGACCAGGACAGTCTGCGAGGCTTGCAAGCAATTTTTTTGCGCGCTCTGAAGGGCGGCTGTATTTGCTATGGAACTGAAAAAGTAATATGAATCAGAGTACCCCACAAACCCCCGAGAGGAATCGAACCTCCACCTCCTCACTGCTAGGAAGTATGCGACCACCATGGGCCACGAGGGCTTACAAGCACTGATCTGCACGCTCGAAAATGCCCCTAAAATTATGGAAGGTCAGATGAAAGAATACTAGCATGCCTATACCATTAATCAACGTTTTAATGCGCCGGGGAAAATCGAACCTCATCCTCTTCGTTGGAGATCCAACACGCTCAGTATATACAACCAGGACGACAACCATACGAGGGGCGATTGCTCTTGTGCGTGTTCGGCAGCGTAGATTTAGTCCCCACAGAACTGAATGAATAGAAAACAGAGGTACCGGTGGGACTACCGGTAATTTGCGGGAGGAATTGCCTCCTCGCTTACACGTCAAAATGCGGGATTAAACCGAGGCGGCCACCATGGTTCACGGGGACTTGGAAGCTACCTTTCGCGCGTGTAAGCAGAGCCAAAACCTGGTCGAGCGAGTGTTTGATGAAGTTTTACAAGGGAAAAAAGGTCCGCCGAACCAAAGCATGCCCCCGGGAGGAGTCGAACCTCCGTCTCCTTGTTGACTGATAAAAAAGCAAACACATATCAAATCGGGGCGAACGCCATGGTCCACGAGGGCTTATGCGCTCCTAGAACTACAGCTAAAATTGTAAAGGCCCGGATAATAAAAATAAAGCTATTTTCATGACGGCATACCCTCGGGAGGAATCATTGGACTACTAGTACATTGAATGAACTCAGCAAAGGTCCGGTCTGTATACATGAATGCCCAAATTTAAGCAAAGGCGGGGCCGACGACCCAGCTGACGTCGTCGTTGAACGACGCGGTGGCATCGAACGTGTCCGCGCCGCCGTTGCTCGCGGCGTAGAGGATGGCGTTGAAGTGTCGGAAGTAGTGTGCTGGGAAAGACCACGAGCGGATCGAGTTGCCCTGCCCGTTGAGGCCCGCCCGCGGGCACCACGTCGCATCCTCTCCGAACAGCTTCGAGCCGTCGTTAGCGTTCACGAGCAGCTGGAAGTTGGAGTGCCGGATGAAGCTGCCCGGCGTGTCGCGGGACTCGAACGACACACATGCGCTGTTCCCGAGACCCGCAACGACGTTCCAGCTCGCAGACAGCTTGAGTGCGCTGGTGGCACTCGAGGTGACCACCTGGGTGTTGACCGTTGCGCCGGTGTGGGCGATGTAGCGAGTCGTGCAGCATGCCGTCGTTGCGCGGAACGACACCGTGGAGCCTACGCTGATGGCGGGCCCGCTCGTCAGGGAGGTGGTGGCGTATCCAGCCGCTACGACGTTGGCCTGGACCGAATTCTCGGTTGCGTCGGACGGGTAACCGGAGGTCATCACACCCTCGTAGAACGTGCCCTGCGCACTGTTGCTGTTGTCCCCGCCTATCCCGAGGATGATGGCCCCTTCCTTTTTCATCGGGTTGTACCCGCCGCTGGGGCGCGCGCCGCTGTAGAACGTCGAGAGCGAGCCGGACGCAGCGTTTCCGCCGCGGACCGCCCAAGTGCCCGGCTCGCCTTTCACGACGGCCGTGACGAAGCGTGAGGTGATCGTCGGGTTGGAGGGGTTGACGGCCGTGTTGGGTCCGGTGAACAGGCCGTTCTCGAGGTCAGCCAGAACCCAGGGACCGCTGCCGGCGCCCGTGCCGAAGCCCGTACCAAGGCCAAAGTAGATGGCCTCCATGTGCCCGTTGCCCGTGTCGTCCGCTGAGGTCTCCGCATTACCATAGTCGAAACAACAGCCTCCGTTAAAATGCGTGCCGTCGAAAACCGCGTACATGCCCTCCGCAGCGTCGCCCTTGAAGACAATCAGTACACGGAGATATGGCATGAGAGGTAAGAAAGTAGACTGACCACGGCGATGGCATTGGTGGCGTCGTTGCGGTAGCCAGTGCCGGGCGAGATGAAGACGCCATACGCCTTCTGTCCCTTCAGCGTGACCGGTGCGCCATCCGCGGCGGCCATATTGTCGAAGCCATTGGGATCGGTGCCGCTGGCGGCGCCGCCGGGAGGAGCCTGCGTGAGGTGGTTTCCACGACCGGACTGGTCGAAGATGGTGGTGATTAGACAGGTTGTGCTGGCGCAGAAGGAGTCTTGCGCGGCGGCGTTAGCGACACCGCCCGCAGACAGCGGGCCGATGTTGGTCGTCGCACCGTCGGAGCCGCGTTTAATTTGGTAGAGGGAGCCAGAGTATGCGCTGAATAGCGCCCGGGTGCTGCTGTGGGCGGCGACGCAGGGAGTGCCCCCGGAAGCGTAGATGTCGCAGGGCCCCGCCGCGACTAGCGGAGCAATAAGACACAGCGCGAGGAGTGAGGAGAACTGGAACATCGCTGTGAGCGTTTCGTGAGTGGGGAGTGGGCATTTTTAATACGTCGAGCAGACTGTCACGCGGCCCCGGTCGTGCACCGTTTAAGGACGAGGAAGCAACGAGGAAGCACGAGCTGATTGAGACGAGGTCGATCACACGCGGATCGACGAAGATGGCATTGCCTGGTGACACAGCAGTGGGGAGGAAGGCTCATCATGCGCCTGAGCGCGCGTGGAAAACCTAGGAACTTTGTTGTATAATTCCATTAGGCTCCGACCACTCGTCTCCACTCGTATAAAGAACGACTCGCAGCTGGGCCACGGGGTCGTTTCGAACAGAACAAGATTCAAGTTTGATCAACCGAGAAACACGGTCCACGGAGTGGTAGATACCGCGTTGTGAAGTCGTCACCTATCGCCGAAGGATGCGAAACAACTATCAAACCAATATCAAACAAAATTGATCTCGACGCGACGCACGTGATGGTGATCATGAAAGGCCTGGGAGCCAAACAGGCGCAATGTTGATGCGTTTCCGCCGACTCAGCCCCACAGCGCTCAACGCGCTAGCCTCTACCTCACGACGAGCTCAAGAGAATAGAAATCGACACTGTTGGCCTCACGCTGGACCTTGGCTACCGTGGAACCCAGCTTAAGCCTCAAGCTCAAGATATCCCAAAGGAAGGAACCCCAAGGCCCCGCCTTCGAGAACAAATTGTACAGGCACAGGACTTATTCTTTCAGGTTCAGTGGACTGTTGCGGCACCCTGAGAGTATTTTACATATCCTTTTCCATGCGGGGGTGAAGCGGCAAACGCTCCGCGGTCGCGATTTCGCGGCTTGTATTGCGTGTGCCTCTGCACCTTCCAGCCCCGTTTACGGATGGCAACGGAGAGGCCACGACCAAGCTTTACGGCGAGGTGGGGGGGTACGTCTACTATTTATTTCAGTTTGTGCATCTATATTTATGCGTTTCCGTAGTCTATGTCGCCCCTTCGACGACGGCCGCCTCTTGCGCAGTCCTCGCGCTCCCACCGCGCAAGTTTGGCATGGCGTCGATATCTTCCCTTCCCGAGAGCGCTGCGGGTCCTCGTTGCCAGTGGGTGTTCTTCTTTCTTCCCCTGGTTACTGACTAACCCCACACACCGTCAGCGCCTCCCCGTCTCCACCCACAGCCCTTCCGTTGCCTCTGCAAAGGCTCAGTCGAAACTGAGCGCATCGTCCTCAACACATTCACGAGCGCTCGCGTCTCCCGCACGGAGGCCTGTCTATCCCCATGCAGGTATGTATACCCCCTCTCCGCCCGTCCACCTCGTCTCACTCCTCATCCAGTGGCAGATCCACATCTTGTCTCTGGTCCCGCACGCCGCCTTGGCAGAACCGCCCGCGAAAATGCGCAGCTCGTTGTGCCCGTGCCGCTTGCGGACGCCGGCTGCGAATCATCGTCGTCGGTAACCGCGCGCGGAGTTGGGGCCTCAAGGGCGTGCCCTGAAGTTCTTTTCTCCGAGCCAGCGAGAAGGCTGTCCCTATCGGCGTCAAGTCGGAGCGGCGTCACCATGGAGCACCGCGTACACCCACCCTCAGGGAATTCACGTCTTCGTCGGGCGGGGCGCGCGAGCGATGCGAGCGCACGGGCAGCCTTTTGCACGGTCAAGGTACGCGTTTCGATACCTACTGCATAGCCTTGCCTCAATCCTCGCAGATCGCGTCTTCGCCTCCTCGAGCCCCTCCGTTCCCCTGCGACGGCACGGCGAGACGTCTGGCGCGTTATCTCAAATGGGGCGCTGACGCGCCGCAGATGTACGACCACGGGGCGGGGTGATGGAGGTCAAGCACGAGCGGGTGTGGTCGAAGGGCGCGAGCGGGTGTAGTCGCAGGGCGCGAGCTACGGGCTTCGCGGGGTATCCGCTTCGGTATGCAGCTCTGCCGATGAGTATATGTAGATCTAATCGTATCGGGTACAGGTTCCTGGGCGATGGATGGCCTCTGCGGTCGGCGTGCTTCCGGCGCCCCTCGTAGCCTTCATTTTTGGCGTCCTGCGGTGCGGTGAAGCTCCCCCGCGTCTCGACCAGGCCCTGGTACACGCGGGAGATATATGTACGCGAGGAGGGGATGACCGGGCGGCGGACGGCGGGTGCGATAGAGGCGAAGTGCGACTGGAAGTGATAGGGAGCGCAGACGAGCGTCGTGCATCTCGGGCTGCGGCACTCGGATTGAGAATCCTCGTTTATGTTCGCTCGGGACACGCACCCACGTCCCTGTCCCGGAGATGTACGCCACCGTACACCGGCCCGGCTCCGCTGCATGCAGGGGACAGGGCGTTTACCACGGAAGTCGTGCTCGTTGGCAGGGAGTGCGTCGGGGTGGAGCTCGGCGTGTATACGTGCGTTTTCACATCACTTTCCGCCTCGCTCTATCCGCGACTCTGATAGACGCTAACTGATACACAGGTACCTCGCACTTCTCAAGGCGAATGTGCGACTAGTGCTCATCGGACGGCGGAGTATGCTACTGCAGCGGGGACGCGAGACGCGTGTGGTGGGTGTTTCTTCTCTGTCATTGCCCCTTCCTACACTGTCCCATCTCCTTCTCCCTATTCACGCTGACATATACTCAGACGCTTTTCCCCAGCGTCCGCTATATCCCCTTCTCCTTTGCGGCGGGAGGTGGTGGAAGTGCGAAGGGAGATGGAGCCTGGGATGCGGAGTCTGGAGAGGATTCGTGCAGATCGAGTGCGGCTAGCTACACATGCATCTTACA